GTTTTTACTTCTTTCTTTCCAATTTGGATGCCTTTTATTTCTTCTTCTCTAATTTTTATGGCTAGGACTTCCAATACTATGTTGAATGAGTTGAGTGGATATCTTGTCTTGTTCCTGATCTTAAGGGTAATGCTCTTCATTTTTACCTGCTGAGTATAATGTTAGTTGTTGATTTGGCATATATGTCCTTTTTGTGCTGAGCTATGTTCCCTCTATTCCCTCTTTACTGAGAGTTTTTATCATAAATGGGTGCTGAATTTTGTCAAATGTTTTATTTGCATCTATTGATGTGATGATATGATTTTTTGACCCCTTCCCTGATGATATGATTTTTTATCCTTTATTTTGTTTATGTGGTATATCATGATAATTCATTTGTAAACATTGTTGCCAACCTTGTATCCCTAGACTGAGTCCCACTTGATCATGGTGTATGATCTTTTTCATGTATTTCTGGATTTGGTTTGCTAATATTTTGTTGAGGATTTTAGCATCTGTGTTCATCAGGGATATTGGCCTATAATTTTTTTCTTTGTACTGGCTTTATCTGGTTTTGGCATTAGAGTAATACTAGTCTTGTAAAATGAGCTTGAGAGTCGTCCCTACTCTTGAAGTTTTTGGAATAGTTTGAGAAGGGTAGGTATTAGTTCTTTTTTGAATATTTGATAAAATTTACCTATCAAATAATCTAGTGCAGAAATTTTGTTTGTTGGGAGTTTTTTTATTATTATTACTGCTTCAATTTTGTTAGTTGTAATCAGACTGTTCAGATTTTCTGTTTCTCCTTGATTCAATTTTGGAAAACTGTATATTTCTAGAGATTTATCCACTTCTTCCACATTGCCCAATTTGTTGGCATATTGTTGTTTGTAATATTTTCTTATAATCCTTTGTATTTCTTTGGTGTCAGTTGTTACTTCTTCTCTTTCATTTCTGATTTTATTTATTTGGGTCCTCTTTCTTTTCTTCTTGATAAGTCTGATTAAAGATTTATCAGTCTTGTTTATCTCTTCAAAGAACCAGTTCTTGAGTTCATTGATCTTTTGTGTTATTTTTCAGACTCTATTTTATTTACTTCTGCCCTGATATTTATTATTTCCTTCTTTCTGCTCCCTTTGGGCTTTGTTTGCTGTTGTTCTTCTAGTTTGTTTAGGTGGCAGCTAGATTGTTTATTTGAGTTTTCTTTTCTTTCTTTAAGTCAGCCTATGTTGCTATGAATTTCCCTCTTAGGACTGTTTTTGCTGTGTCCCATTGATTTTTGGTTGCTGTGTTATTATTTTAATTGGTTTCAAGGTATCTTTTTATTTCTTTCTTCATCTCATCATACGTTAACCCATTTATTGTTTAGTAATATGTTATTTAGTCTCCATGTCTTTGTGTGTTTGTTAGTGTTTTTGTGATATTTTAGTTTCATACCATTATGTTCGGAGAAGGTGGTTGATATGATTTTAATCTTCTTAAATTTACTGACACTTGTTTTGTGTCCTAACATATGGCCTATCCTGGAAAATATTCCATGCACACTTGAAAAGAATGTGTTTTCTGCTGCTTTGAGGTGAAATACTGTCAAAATATTGATTAATCCATCTGGTCTAGTGTGTCATTTAAGGCTCCTGTTTCCTTGTTAAATTTCTGTCTGTAACATCATTGATGTCAATGAGGTGTTTAAACACCTACTATGAGCTTATTATTGTCAACCTCTCCCTTTACATTTAGCAACATTTGTTTTTATAGGTACTCCTGCATTGGGTGTATAAATGTTTTCTATACCCTATTGTTGGATTGCTCCCTTTGTCATTATGTAATTTCCTTCATTGTCTCTTATTATAGCCATTGTTATATTTTGCCTGATATAAGTATTGTTACCCCAGCTTTTTTTTTTTTTCATTTTGATTTACATAAAATTTTTTTCAACCCATTACTTTCAGTCAGCATGTCTTTCATTCTGAAGTGGGTATCTTGTAAACAACATATATATGGGTCTTGTTTTATTTTCCATTTAGCTACCTTATGTCTTTTGATTGAAGCATGTAATCCATTCACTTTAAAGTGATTATTGATAGCCCTGGCCAGTGTGGCACAGTGGTTGGAGTATTGTCCTATAACTAAAATGTTACAGGTCAGGATTGATTCCCAGTCAGGGCACATACCTAGGTTATGGGTTCATCCCTGGCCAGACAGATACAATTCCTGGTCCTGGTGCAGATCCCCAGTCTGGGTGTGTAGAGAAAACCAGTCAATTCTTTTCTTGCATTGATGTTTCTCTCTCTCCTTTCTTCTCTCCCTTCCTCTCTCTCTCTCTAAAAGCAAATTAAAATGTCCTTGGGTGAGAACATAGGTGTGTATTAGTTGCCATGTTGTACATATTTTATTTCTTACAATTACGGTTCTTCTTTTCTCCTTTTTTTTAATGTATTTTATTGATTATGCTATTACAGTTGTCCCATTTCCCCCTTCTCTCCCCTCCACCCTGTACCCCCTCTCCCCCCCACGTTCCCCCCCCCCTTTAGTTCATGTCCATGTGTCATTCTTATGAGTTCTTTAGCTTCTACATTTCCCGTACTATTCTTGCCCTCCCTCTATCTATTATCAACCTACATTCTATGCTACTTATTCTCTATACCTTTTCCCCCCTCTCCTCCTCCCACCCCCCTGCTGCTAGCCCTCCATGTGCCCTCCATTTCTGTGGTTCTGTTCCTGTTCTGGTTGTTTACTTAGTTTCTTTTGGTTTTGCTTTAGGTGTGGTTGTTAATAATTGTGAGTTTGCTGTCCTTTTACTATACATGTCTTTTCTTTATCTTCTTTTCTTAGATAAGTCCCTTTAGCATTTCATAAAATAAGGGCTTGGTGATGATGAACTCCTTTAACTTGACCTTATCTGAAAAGCACTTTATCTTCCCTTCCATTCTAAATGAGAGCTTTGCTGGATACAGCAATCTGGGATGTAGGTCCTTGTCTTTCATGACTTGGAATATTTCTTTCCAGCCCCTTCTTGCCTGTAAGGTCTCTTTGGAGAAATCAGCTGACAGTCTGATGGGAACTCCTTTGTAGGTTACTGTCCCCTTATCTCTTGCTGCTTCTAGGATTCTCTCCTTCGTTTTTACCTTGGCTAATGTAATTATGATGTGTCTTGGTGTGTTTCTTCTTGGGTCCAACTTCTTTGGGGCTCTCTGAGCTTCTTGGATTTCTTGGAAGACTGTTCCCTTTGCCAGATTGGGGAAGTTCTCCTTTATTATTTGTTCCAATACGTGCTCCATCTGTTGCTTTTCTCCTTCCTGTTCTGGTACCCCTATAATTCGGATGTTGGAATGTTTAAAGGTGTCCTGGATGCTCTTAAGCTTTTCCTCGATTTTTTGAATTCTTATTTCATCATGCTTTCCTGCTTGGTTGATTCTATCTTCCTTCTGGTCCACTGTATTGTTTTGAGACTCAGATTCCTTCCTTTCACTATTGGCTCTCCTCCGCGTATCTTCCTGCATCTCTTTTATGGTAACCTGCATCCTTTCATCTAAATTGCGCCCAAAATCAACCAATTCCGTGAGCTTTCTGATCACCACTGTTTTGAACTGTGCATCTGATAGATTGGCTATTTCTTGGTTGCTCAAAAGGATGAGTCCTGTGGGACTGATCTGTTCTGTTGGATACATGTCTTATGTCTTTCCCTGTCTCTGGTCGCTCTTGTTATGGTGGGGGGAGGAGCCTTAGGTGTTCACCGGGGCTGGGCACCCTGGTCGCTAGATTGTGACGTTATATGTGTGTGCGGGAGGGGACAATGGCGACAGTTTCTTTCTTCCGGGCTCAGGCCCTTCCTTGGGATCCTGGGCTGCGAGCTCTGCCCTGGTCCACAATCGCTGCCCCACAGGGTCTGCCAGCCGCAGCTTGCGTACTCAGGGATCACTGCTGCATTCTTGCACCCCGGATGACTATTACGCCGAGTTTGCACCAAATTTTCCCCGACCTCCGCGCGCCGCCGACCCGTGCCCGCCCCGCGCCCGCCCGGCTCGTCGTCTTCTACCAGTCTGGATGTACGGGTCTACTTCAACTTCTTGGCTGTCCAACTTCCATTCAGATAAATCCTGACAGTTCTGAGTGATATTCTATCTGTAAATTATTGTTGTTCTAATCTAGGTTGTGCGAGGAGGCACGGTGCATCCATCTATTCCTCCATCTTGCCGGAAGTCCCCTCTTCTTTTCTTCTTAATCAAGAAGTTTATATAACATTTCTTGTAATACTTGTGTTGTGGCAAAGAACTCCTTTAGTTTTGTTTTTTGTTTTTTGTCCAAGAAGCTCTTTATTTCCCCTTCAGTTTCAAATGATAGCCTTGCTGAGTAGTGTATTCTTAGCTATAGGTCCTTGCTTTTCATCTCTTCGACTATTTTGTGCCTATCCCTTCTGGCCTGAAATGCTTCTATTGAGAAATCAACTGACAGTCTTATGGGAGCTTCCTTGTAGGTAACTGTTTTTCTTTTGCTGCTTTAAATTTCCTCTGTCTTTAACCTTTGCTGTTTTAATTATGAAGTGTCTTGGTGTAGGCCTATTTGCGTTTATCTTGTTTGGGACTCTCTATACTTCCTGAACTTGTGTGTCTTTTTCTTTGACAAGTATAAGGAAGTTTTCAATCATTATTTCTTCAAATAGATTCTCAATCCTTTGATCTGTCTTCTCATTCTGGTCCCCCAATGAGGCAAATGTTGTTAAGCTTGATGTTGTCCCAGAGGTCCTGTAAATTATCCTCATTTCAAATTTAAAAATTTTTTAATCTGTACCCAAGGATATGCTTGTTGATTTTAGAGACAGAGGTGGAGGGAGAGATTGAGGGAGAGAGAGAAACATTGATGTGAGAGAAAAATACAAATTGCCTCTTACATACACCCCTACTGGGGACTGAACCCACAACCAAGGCATGTGCCATAACTGGGAATTCAACCCGCAACCCTTTGGTTTATCGTCCCTTTGGGACAATGCTCCAACCATCTGAGCCAAAATGTCCAGGGCATAAAAAAATATGGAACATTTCAGATTTTGCATGTCATCTTTTCAGAGGGGCTATGCTCATTTTCTCTGTAGCATTCCAATTTTAATATGTGCACTATATAAATGACACTAGCCTCACTTTTTACAATTTTTTGTTCTGCTCTAATTGGGTCTTTCCTGATACCTTGTCTTCCAAATTGCTGATTCCATACTCTGCCTCATTTAATCTGCTATTGATTTCTTCTAGTTTATTCTTCATTTCATATATTATGTTCTTCATTTCTGACTGGTTACTTTTTATTAGTTCTATGTCATCTCTTATAATTACTATCTCTTTGTAGAGGTTCTCGCCAAGTTCATCCATTCTTCCCCTAAGCTTTTTGAGCATCCTTATAACCACTGTTTGAACTTTTATCTGGTATATTGCCTGCATTGCATTTACTTCTTGGAGGAATTTTTGTCCTTTTGTTTGGGGTATATTCCCTTGTCTTTTTATTTTGGTTGCCTCTCTTTTTTGTATCTGTGTATTAGGTAGATCTGCTATGTCTCCCACATGATTATGTGGGCTCTCCTGTTATAGTTGAGTTTTAATCAGTGTTGCCTCATCTGTTGGCTGGTTTGATCCTCAGACTGTCTGACAATGAGGTTGGACTCCCAACTACAGTGCATGAGCTGCTCGCTATACAGGGAATGGCCCCATGAAGCAGAATTCACCACATCAGGGTTGGTGCCTTCTGAGATCTCCCTTTGGGTGTCACGTGCGGTGCCAGTTGGGTCCTGCTATGATGTAGTCTGAAATCTGCCATTGTATGTTTTGGCCTGGGACCTCTTGGGAGGGACTTTGGTGCAGGTTAATGTCAGATGCTGCCTATGACTTCCCTGGCTACCTGTTTGGAACTGCAATCCACAGTTTGTAGCTGCCTTTGCAGGGCTGGGTGCGCATAGGTGGATCGAAGCTGCATTCCAAGGCACAATAAACCCAGGGTCATATCAGCAAAAGGCCCAAGTTACCCCAAGATCTGCCTCTGCCTGCCGAATGCCTCTAGTGTTTCAAACTGGATGTCAGTGCTAGGTCTGAGGCCACTCTGCAAAAGCCTCAGTGTACACCAGTGCCAGCCGCCACCTGCCTGGGGCCTGCAGATCAGACTTTGTGGTTGGGCAGGGTCTCAGGGAGTTGTCATGGTGAAGCCAATACAATTAATCAGGCTAAAACAGGCCAAGATTTGTCCATGTGGACAGGGTGCGCTGCACACGAATGGTGGCACTATTCGGGTGTGCAAGGGATAAATGATTCTTTCCCTACAGCTTTACAACTCAGTCTCTCTCTGCAATACCCTGAGTCTACCCAGATCTCTTGGAGAGCTAATAAAGTCTGCATTGGGTTCCATGTTGGCCATGGCCAACTGACTCCTCCACAACACATGAGCTAAGCAGGACAGACTACAGGGAAGGTGGTGGCTAATGCATTTCCCTAGGCTGATGCCCCATGAAGAGACATGCTTGACCCAAGAAAGATGGTGTCTGTGGGCACTGTGGGAAATGAACTTAGCGTAGGGACCTTCTTGGCTGTTCATTCAGGGCTCTCCCCAAGTCCACAAAATCCAGTGCCCCTTTATAACTTCAGTCAGCTGAGCTACTTTTTCTCCTGGAGCCCAGGGTGAGTAGCAGTGAATGGGATTTTGTGTGTTGGCCCTTTAAAAGTACCCCTGGGTTTCTAGGAGACCCCTATGTCTCTGGTGGATGGGGATCCCCACTATATTTCACAGCCAGGTGTTACATGGGCTCCTCTTCCTGGCTCTGGTGCTCTGGGTGAGGAAATTTACCATGGAGGTGAGACCCTCACTCCTCAGTGGGCATCTTTGTAGCTAAGATATCCCTCCAGATTCCCAAACACCACATGTGGGTGCGGGGCCAGTCATTTTCACATCTCTGCAATTTTCACCAGTCTCAATGTGGCTTCTTATGTAAATCCTTAGTTATAAGACCTCTGTTCAGATAGTCTTCAGTTGGTTATTCAGGTTGATTGTTGTATAATGTAGTTGTAATTCCAGTTTGGTCCTGGGAGAAGATAGCTGTAGTTTCCACCTCCTTTGCTACCATCTTGGTCTCCACATGATTAATTTAAAAAAAAAAAAATAGTTATCCTCACCAGAGGATATGTTTCTTGATTTTTTTTTTTGAGAGAGAGAGAGAAAGAGAAACATCAATGTGAGAGATAAACGTTGATCAGTTACCTCCTGTATGTTCCATAATGGGGGACCAAACCGGCAACCTAGGTATGTGTCCTGACCAGGGATTTAACCCACAACTTTTTGTGGATGGATGCCGGCCAGCAGTATCCATCTCGGCTGCGGATGTTCGTCAACACGCGAGAAAAACATACACAGAGACAACCAGGTCCTGTGGGGGAATAGGAACACCAGGGCCACTCCTCACGTGGGGAGTAAGCCGCTTTCCCACCCTCCCTGGTGGGGAGAGCGCCCCCTTCCCCCTCCAGAGAGGCTTTTTATTGGTTTTGTTTGAATAAGAATTCAGGTAAAAGCTCATTACTCATTGCTAGGAAGTAAGGATCAAATAATAGATAACAAGAAAGTCTGAGGGCCTATTTTGAGTCAGGGTCAAAGAGCTGTAAAACCTTAAAGAACAAACTTACTTCTTCCTTGGACCCTTATCATTCAACTGAGAGCATTCTAAACAAAGCAGGTTTCACAGAATCTTACATATTCTTCCTTAGGCCTGATCACCTGGGGAACCCGCCCTTTTCAGCACAGAGCTGCACCACCCTGTCATTGTTTCAGGCTTAGGTGGAGCAAGGGAACTAAGGCAACAAAGAGATAAGGAGACTTTTCTCCCAGACAATGAGGACTCAGGCTATGTCAAAGCCAAGGAGTGAGGGTCCATTACCCACTTTTGCTGTAGCCCCCAAAGTCCTTTCTTGGGGGCCTCCCACGTGGTTGTGCCTGTCTTAGGTCGTTCCCCCCTTGAGGAATCTTACCCGTCATTGGTTAACTGACCAAGCTTTGGGGTTCAGTTATGAATGAAACAGCAGAAGCAGCACTCCTGCCAGGGAGATAAGCTTTTGTCTCCTTGCTGGCCTACGTCCAAGGCCACTCCCTCAGCCTTAGCCTTGGTGGGGGTTACAACTTCTGACACCAGGCAGGGGAGTTCCCAACAACCTTTCAGTGTACAAGATGATGCTCCAACCAGCTGAGCCTCAGCCAGGGCTCCAGATGCTTCTTTTTAAAATAAAAGCAATCTGTCTTAGATAATGCAGGTGCCTTGAAATCCCATATTAGGATTTCTTATTTATATTTTTATTTTAATAAAGGAGAGTCTAATTACAAGAATGTTACTAAAACACTCCCTTTTTATCTTTTAGCTACTCTAATGACAAAAATATACCATGGTGAATTAATCTGATTCTTAAAAATTAACCTAGTATTCTCTCTAGACAGATTGTAAGACATTTTTTTCTTTTTATTGTTATTTTTAGAAGATTAAGTTTGGGAAAATATAGGGTGTCCTCAAATACACAGTAAATACAACGTGTTACAAAAGAACCACTAAGTAGGTTTATCCATCCCACTATTGAGCAGATGACTATTTCAAAGAGAGTTGAGGGACATTATTTTTTTATTCAAAGAAGAAAAAAAGTCAAACTCCTTCCAAATAGGAGCAAAACTACATAGTAACCTTATTTCTCTTTTTGGCTTACTATGTTTGAAGACAATACAGAGAAATTAAAAGTCCACAAATAGGACTTTGCCAGTCATTCTTTCATTCTTTAAACTTCCTAGCCCCAATATACCACTAATTATTTCTTGACACCAGAATGCAACCTGCCCTAGGTTTTAAGCAAAAATCAAATAAATGCTATCACACAGAAATTAATAAGGCCTAATCACATGCCAGTAAGGTATTTGAAAAGTTTCATCTAAACATTAGAAAACTGAGTTCATTTGACACAGGTAGAGAACCATGATGGAAGAAAAAAAATGATGATTTCAATAATTTGTTCATGTCAAAAGGAAAGGCAGGTGTGCCCAACTTCCAATAGTCGGTCATGAAGAAAACTGAGCCGCAAATCTTGCAAATTGTGTTTGATGCATATGTGGTAGAAGTAGTAAGCAAAATTGTGACTATATTTTTAATGTTTATGCCCTGGGTCATAACCATTTCATAAGCTATGTGGAAGTAAAATTTGAATATGAAGGTAACATTTATCACAACCTAATTTAGGTCAGGGGAGTTTATTGAAGAAGTTTACCAAGTTGTTTCCCCATGGTTTAAAGCTCAGCTCAGGATCATCTCTTTAGGAAGTTTTCTCTTGCCTCCCCAGGCTAGGTTGGGTGTCCTTCGTCCATGCTTCGTAACATTCTGTAAGATTTCTTTACTCTTTCCTCATCTCATGATATGCATATCATGTTTATATGTCTTTCTTCCCAGACAGTATATTAGAAATAGAATTAGACATAGAAATAGAAATTATTCAAAAATAACAATGAGCTATGTTAGCATATTTATATTAAAAAATAACAATTCTCCAAAGCAAATTAGTGAAAAGAATGTCATTATTTTACATGTTTGTAAATCTTTATATCTGCATTATTAGAATACAGGTCAATAAAAGTAGCTAGTACAGCTCAAAATTCCGGTGATTACACAGTGCTTTTCCTCAAGAATGCCATTTTCTTCAGTATGCAGAAGTGATTTTTTTTTGCGTACTTTCCATCTTGTCCCACAGAACACTAAAAACATATGTCTTCCAGGGTCAACATGTAATAAATCTAATAATTTTTCTGCTTCATTTAGGACATTCCTATGTGTAACTGGCATTTTGTTTACTGTGAGTGTGTGGCAGTGAAGAATATAATGACTGCTAGTACAGTTGGTGCCACTGTCTCGTGACAGTTGAGATGCCGACAGTTTTACCCACCATTGATTTCTTTTGCACCATTGGTGCAAATATCGATGCAATAAAAAAGGGAGACAGCAAATATTATTGTGAAAGGGGTTTTAACCTTGTGGATTCTCCAAAAGGGTGTTAGCAATTCCCAGGAGTCCATGGACCATACTTTAAGAAATGCTGTGGTAAACAGCTAGTGTCCCACTTGATAAATTCTCTAG